TCAAATCTTTATGCCTTTGCACATGCTGTTCCTTCTTCCCTATTGCCTCTTTATTGTCTGGTTACTTCCCATTCTTCCTTCAGGAGTTAGATCAGGTGCGACCTGAGAATCATTTCTGGAAATCATCCTTCACCCCCAAGTCTTGATTAACGGCTCCAGCTTTCTATCCCCATAATACTGTGTGCTTAGGGCACTCTTATCCTCATGCTGTTTTGTAGTCCTCTGTTTCCTAGTCTTTCTCTCCCATTGACTGAGTTTCATAAAGGCAGAAACTCCTCCTCTCTGTATCCTTCGTTCAGTGTTCTCAAATGTTTAATGAATGGATGGAAGCTGACATTAGAAGCTGTTTCTTGGCTTGGGAAATCTTTGAGTCCAATAGGAGTCATTGAGATACTAATCTAGGAGTTCTTGTGTGCTGATTACAGTACTCCTGAGACAAAAACTTGGAAACTTTACAGGGGTCACAAGACAACTGCACTAAGGAAACTAAATACAGGCAGACCCTGCTTTTGTTTCCTTAAATTTTATTGGTCTGCTTCATTGGCTGTGCTGAAAATAGTGTCTCTATTAGTGATATCTCAATTGGAAAGTTATCTGGGAACAAAGGTGCTTTTAGTGCACCCTGTCTGGCAGCAGACTGTTTGGGAAGACTCTGGTCTTCCTTTCCCTGGACCCACGCGGTGTGAAGAGGAAGAGGTGGTGCCAGATCAGGAGTCCCCTCAGTAGTGTCTCAGGACACACAGCCAGTGGAGTCAGAGGGAGAGAGTGTGTGTGGCGGACTGAGCTGTGACTCTCAGAATCACCTGGAGAGTAAGGCATGTTCCTGCAACACATACAACCCAGGATGGCTGAGCAGTCAGTTACAGCAATATCAGCCTCTGCTGGGAGGTGCGTGTGGGAGGGTGGGGTTGGAGGCAGTAAGTGGTCCTCAGGGCATCTTCACATGAAGCTTAAATCAGCCAATGCGCTTGATTGAACTCCTGCAGTGTCCCACACATATTGTACTGGAACATTTTTAGCGTTCCTGTTATTTTTGTCACTGATAACAAAGTTTCTGACTGTAAAATAGAATGTTGAGATAACCTCTTTGTTAATAGAGATATTACTGTATTCCATTTTTCATCTTGAGCCACACCTTCAGTTTTTTTTTTTTTTTTAAAGATTTTATTTTTTCCTTTTTCTCCCCAAAGCCCCCCGGTACATAGTTGTGTATTCTTCGTTGTGGGTTCTTCTAGTTGTGGCATGTGGGACGCTGCCTCAGCGTGGTCTGATGAGCAGTGCCATGTCCGCGCCCAGGATTCGAACTAACGAAACACTGGGCCGCCTGCAGCGGAGCGTGCGAACTTAACCACTCGGCCACGGGGCCAGCCCCTCACACCTTCAGTTTTAACTGCTGATTCCTGTTTTCCACCAGCCCATGGAACCCTGGCATTTTGCCCTGTCGACACAGGAGTGACATCTGTGGTGAAAGAGAGTAACTGTAGGCTATACAGTATGTAGGGAAACAAGCCAGGGTTGGTTTGTTTGTTTGCCCTTCTGCTTCCCAGAGCTTTTTCTAGGAATGCATTATGGTGAAAGTGAGAATTAGCTATATAGCCAAAGATTTCTGTTCATGGCACAAAGCTGAAAGTTGCCACCGTCCTGGTGGTAGGGGCAACGTGCTCTCTGGTAATAGACAGGGACAGAGAAAGCCAACATGCCCTTTGAGATATTTATCTGAGTCAATCAATGCTCATCCTGATTATATTAAAAAGGAGTCATAATGTCCATTTATTTCAAGGCCCTGGGCTGCCCTAGGGGACCCACGGTAACCACTTGGATATTTCGTTACTTACCATCAGCAACATTGCGCATTAAATGGCGAGAGAAAATTCCACCAATTTTAGTCTTCTAGTCTTTTCATGGTGTTCCCAAACCAGTCTTGGGTTAGATATGTGTGGAAAATGGCCAAGAATTGACAGGATATCTAAGCAACCATCTGTGCATTACACAGAGATACCAAGTACTGCTAGGACAGAAGAAATGATATAAGGACATCCTCAGATGAGGCTTAAATCAGCCAGTGTGCTTGATTGAACTCCTACAGTGGGCTTGGCACTGGGGGTGAGGACAGATCCAAAATAAATAGAAGGCATAGTCCTTGCCCATGGAGAATACACAGTTAAGTGGAGAGACAGTAAATGTTACAGACTTATAAGAAAGCAAAAGGCTCCACAAGGTAGTAAGTGCAACATGAGTGTTTGAGATAATTCAGGGGCCTTGATGCAGCATGCCAGGAAATAGAAATGAGTGTAACAATGGGATCAGCTTTTGAACCAAGACTTTAGCATGATAGCTTAGCAAAGAAGCAAACCAAAGGACAATGTATGCATGTTCTGGGGCAAGGGATATTTTTCAGCCACTGCTGTACTCAGGGTTGTAATCGTTTAGTCAGCAATAGTTCCAGTCATGAAGGAAAGCAAGATAAATGTGTGGTATAAATTCAGTTCAGAATCTAGACCAAAGCCCATTACCTAAGTTTTAAAGCAAAGTATCTGGAGCTGAAGGAGAGGACACCTAATCAGGAGACATGATAAAGACTAGGAAGACTTGGGGAAAGTATGAATTTCTGGAGGTGATGGTGGCAGAACCAGAAGTCTGACTACCACAGATTGCCAAGGTTGATGGGATCTGATCTTACTAGCTAGGCAGGTGTTCCCTCCTGCCTCAGGGATCCTCCGGAATCTGTCTGCCTGGGTGGGTTGTGGCAGGATGGGCAGAGAGGATGGCTAGTGGGCGACTTGGCTGAAGTTGAGCCCTAAGGGTGCGCCAGGTCCTCTCCCTGGGGTGTGAGCCCTTTGGGTCAAGGGCAGGGCTCATCTGAGGAACCTACCGGGAGCACCACGCCTGGCTCATTAGTGGATGTCTGGGGAGGCCTTTGAAGATGAAACACTCCTTAAGCACTCATTGTTTCTGTTTTTTGGACAAACTAGTACTTTGGTCTCCAGGGGCTGTTGATCTGGCTCTTTGTACTAGTCTGGAATTTGCTGCAAACTGAGGAGAGTAGGAAAAAAACAAGCAAATCTGGAATAGTTTTTGAAAAAACCAGTAAACTCCCACCAAACCCCCATGCTTTAGCTTGTAAATAGGATTCCTCCCCATCCACCTTTCACATTCTTGGGTTTGGGTGCACTCTGTCTTGACCTGTTCCTTCTCCTGCTGGGTTTGGGGTGTGTATGTGTCTCTGGTTCCCAGACTCTATAGAGGATGCCAGCAGCTGGCATATGGCTATTGCTGAATAAGCTGCCCACTGACACACGTCTCCCGCAGGCACAGAGAACTGGCTGGCACGGATGATTCTGAACCCCCATTTCATTGTTGTTTCAAAGACACATTTCTGTGCCTATCCTCTGCCATAGAGAAGGGAGGGAAGAAGAGAGGGAACGAATGACTCTATGGTTCTGTCTGTTGAGGGTAATGGGTGAGGTGGGCAGGTAGGCATTTTGTACCTTCCCAGTGGCTCTTAGTGCTCCTTTCATTTCTTCAGCAGGTATTTGTTAAGTGCCTACTATGTACCAAACATAAGCTTGCAGTGTGAGGGAGCTATAGTGAGGTCTGTAGAGACCCTGGGAGTCAGTTCAGTTATTCGACTGCTGTGCCAGGCACTCTTCAAGGTACTGGGAACACAGCAGTGAATAAAATAGATAAGGAGCTGACATTATAGTAGGAGGAGAAAAACAATACAGCAAGAAACAAATATGTAATGTGTCAGATGGTGATAAATGCTAAGAAGAAAAGTAAAATGGGATTAAAAGGGTAGAGAGTCGGGGGTGGTGGTGGTGTGTGTGTGTGTTATCGGTGGTTATGGAAGGTCTCTTTGATAAGGTGACATTCGAACAGACACCTGAAGGAAGTGAGGGAGTAATCCATGAAGGTTATCTGGGAGGGGAGAATTCCAGGCAGAGAGGGAATAGCAAGTATAAAAGGTTTGAGGCAGGAAAGTGTTGAGGAATTGAAGTGGAGTAAGCAAAGGAGGGGAGAGTAGTAGGAAATCTGATGAGAGAAGCAGGGAGAATGCAGACGATGCAGGACCTCGTAGGCCATGGTATGGCTCTGAGTTTTCCTGAAAGGGAGATATGAAGCCAAGAGAGGGTTTTGAACAGAGGAACAACATGACCTGATTTGGGGTTTAAAATCAGTCTGGCTGCTATGTGGAGAATAGACTGAAGGGGCTTAGGTAAGAGGCAGGGGATGAGGTGACTGCCTTATTGTGAGTGACCACGTGGAGCAGCTGTCCTTGGATGGGCCACAGCAAGCCTGGGATTTACCTGGCTGAGGAATGAGGGGTAGAGTCTCCCCACCCCACCTCCCAACTCTTAGCACACTGTTGTATGCACAAAACACGACTTTCGCAGCCAGCATTTTACAAAGTGGAAAGGATCAGCCTCTTTCAGGAGTGCTGCTTTCTTATTTCTTCCTCGTTAATTTTGGTGTGTGGAAGGAAGGTGAAATTGCAGAAATATAGAAAGGGAGGAAGCCGACTCTCTTGAGCATAAACCTTGGGAACCTGGCAAGCCTGAACCTTGTCAGGAGTCACAAAGAGCCACTCCTCATTCCACTCCCTCTCCCACCCTTTCCAGAAGTCTCAGGGTAAGGTTGGGGGAGGGAGGGGCATTAATGATCTTGCAGTGCCTTGGGGTATAGTGTAGAATGTCAGAACCAAAGGGACTTTAGAAATCATCTAGTTCAGCCCCCTCCAGTTACAGGTGCAGATATGGACAGATGAAATAACTTGGCTGAAGTCACATGAGTAGATTACTGGCAGAGCAGGGTCGTTAGTGTTCACTGCTTTGTCTCTGCTCCCAAAGGTTCAGAATGTATCTGAGTGGGCCTTGATCTTCATAGTTGCCCCAGGCTTTTAGTTTGTCATGAATGAATTCTAGCCATGACTTTGACAAATCCAGTTTACATGAAATCCTGACAAGCAGATGATGGTAGTGAGTTTACATTTCTTTGCCTAGGATCAAGTCCTCCATACCAGGGACCAGGCCAAAACCAGACTGCCACTGCCCCCACTTGGGCCCTACTGTCCTCAGAAAGCAGCCACCGTGATCATGGGTAATATCTTTGGAAACCTTCTCAAGAGCCTGATTGGGAAGAAGGAGATGCGCATCCTGATGGTGGGCCTGGATGCTGCAGGAAAGACCACCATCCTGTATAAGCTGAAACTGGGGGAGATCGTCACGACCATCCCCACCATTGGTAAGGGCACAGCTTGGATACAGGCTTTCATGCTGACAGCTGAGCTGGGCAGGGGGCCTATTCCTAGATCCCCCACCTGGCCACCAGACAAGTCCCTGCAATTTGTGGGGTTCAAGAAAGGATGGTTATTTAGATTACTAGCAGGTGCTGGGGCTGTCGTTTGCCCACCTACCCTGGCCCTCTCTGATGCGGGAACTTCCGCAGCCTGGCACTCAACAGTTGCCCTCAGGCACTGAGCTGGTTTGTTCTTTGTGTTGTTTGGAAAGCAGGTGAAGGGCTTTGATGTTCCTGCCAGAGGCCTGGAATTGCTTCAGTTTAGATCCTTGGTGGCCCTGATCCTGGTTAAGACCTGCCTGTGGGAGAGAGAATCTTTGCCTTGTAGATAGGGCTCGAGATCATCATTGTCAGCTGATTCTGCATTTGGGGCTCCAGGACTATAGCTCACTTCTTTTTCTTCACTCTGCCTCTCAGACTCAAGTGGCCAAGGTACAAGAGTGGGGCTGAGTCATTTCTTTGCAGGAGGGAGAGTCAAAGACAGAGAGAATGAGTGGGGAAGATTGGCTCACGTTACCCACATGATTGTGAACCTCTGATGTTCTCCTCATCCTCTTCCCCTTCTCTTAGATTTTCTTTTTGGCATTTAGGCTACTAAGTCAGGAACACCAGGTCTGAGGAAGCCTTAGTTTGCTTTCCCTGGATAGAATCTTGGCCACAGCTGAGGGAAACAGAAACAAACCCAGTGGGGCATCCTTTGCAGACCTAGTGTTTGAGGCCAAGTGGCCATTGTTTTTTCCAAAGGGTTCAACGTGGAGACAGTGGAGTACAAGAACATCAGCTTCACAGTTTGGGATGTGGGTGGCCAGGACAAGATTCGGCCTCTCTGGAGACACTACTTCCAGAACACCCAAGGTATGGCATATAAATTGGCTGGGGACTGGCCTGGGTTGGTTGGGTGTGAGCAGAGTGTGGCTGTCATTCTTGGTTATGGGCAGCCAACCCTTGCCCTGCTGCAGCTCCTAGAGGTGGGAGAAAAGGAGGAAAGGGAGGGAATGAGGAGGGTATTGTCTTTGGTGCTGGGGGAGGGGAGTTCATCTGTCATCTCTGTGTAGCCCGTGCTCTGCCTCCCTAGGGTTGATCTTTGTGGTCGACAGCAATGATCGGGAGCGAGTAAATGAGGCCCGGGAGGAGCTGATGAGGATGTTGGCAGAGGATGAGCTCCGGGATGCTGTGCTCCTTGTCTTTGCAAACAAACAGGTGAGACTTCTCCCTACCCCTGGATTTAAGAGAGGGTGACCTGGCCGTGGATACCATGGGGCCTTGGTGCTTATTGTATGGGAAGCCCCATGACTGTGCTCTCAATTTTGGAAGTGTGGGAAATATGATTAGTTGGCTTGTTTATGCTCCTCTTCCTGTCCCCCACCGCAGCTTTAATTAGCAACATTTCTGTCCTCAGGCATTGCTGTGGTAGATACATCACCTCAAACCCTCTTTCATCTTTCCTGTTGTCCACTTTAGTGGAACTGCCCTCACTTCTACAGTCTGACAGACCTGATTCTTTGCCCAGCTTGAATCACCTTCCACTTCCCTACTAGCCATGCGTTTGGTATCCAGCTCGCCAGTGGAATGACCGTTAGAGCCTTGGATAGGAGGTTCTAGGATGACTAGATCCAAAGCAGTTCCTTAGGATCTTATTCTGGGTTCCTTCAGTGAAGGAGGAGGAGAGGGTGCTGGTGCACATCTTTTTGGTAGATGGGTGCGCTAGAAGCCTTTGAAAGATCCTGAGGCTCCTTTTTTTGTCTCTCCCTTGTGTTCCAGGATTTGCCTAATGCTATGAACGCTGCCGAGATTACAGACAAGTTGGGCCTGCATTCCCTGCGTCACCGCAACTGGTACATTCAAGCCACCTGTGCCACCAGTGGGGACGGGCTGTACGAAGGCCTGGACTGGCTGGCCAATCAGCTCAAAAACAAGAAGTGAGAGCCAGGCAGCCCTGTCTGACCGCCCTACCCACCCCTGACACATCTACTATCTTCCTGCCCCAGCCCCAGCCCTTTCTTCCCATTGCCATTGTGGCCAGGGCCCGGGTATCATGTCCGCATGCCCAACAAGAGCCTTGCCTCCCCTGCCTCGCCTCCTCTCCCCTGTCCATACCAGTCCCCAGTTGCTGTCTTGATGATGAATCATTCCAATTTACCAGATTTAAAACAAAAACAAAGTTGTTATGGTTTCATGGGGTAGCCCTCCCCCTGCCCCCCTACAATCCTCTGGAGTTTGGGAGGTGGGGTTGGGTATTCTCTCCGTTTGCTTTGTTTGGCTCTGGTTGCTGTGCTCTTGGCATCTAAGTCCCTTCCCTCTCCTCACAGGCCCCTCTCCTCCCTGTCTTCCTTTCCTTCCCCACCTTCTCCCTGTTCTACATGGAAATTGCACGGGCCTCTCTGTGTGTGCGTGCGTGTGTGCGTGTGTATATACATGTATAGAGAGATATATATGTGGGGGCCAGGGAGAAGGGTGGAGGGGGTGGAGTGCAGCTCAGGGCTTGCAGCCAGGACACTGCCCACTCTAGCCTATCATCTGCCCCTCTCATGGTGGTGAGATAAAGGGTTGAAGGTAGAGGGAAGGCTGCCCCAGTCTTGCACTGGTTCTTCTCCTCTCTGCAGGTAGGTTTTCCTGGATGATAGGACAGGTGATGGATTTTCCACCATTTTCCCTGTACCCCTCTTTCCATTCTACTTAGGGCAGGAGGGTGGCATTTATCTCTAGAGGAGTGTTCCCAAGGAGATGCCATTCTGCCCTGCCTTGTTAGTGGGGAGGAGAGAGGAACCCACTCAGTCTTAATCAGCCCAGAGTGTTCAATTGATCCTCCCCCTCATCCTTAGATCTGTTCCTCAGGAGCTTGAGGGGGTGGTGGGGTGGGGATAGCAAGACCAAGGGTGTGTTTGGGACCCAGGGCACTGAGGGGAGGGCCTCAGGTTTTCCATCTTCATCCTCTTGTTATTAGAAGGTGAGGTTCAGATCAGTCCTATTCCTGCCTTCCCATGCCCCCTCCCCCTTGTCTTCTGGTCTTGGGGGCTGGGTGGTTCATCTGTCCTTTGTCAGAAGTTTCCTCACCCTAGTAGTCCTCCTGGCCTGACCAGGGCTGGCTGGGTGGTTTAATGGGGAGCAAGGGAGTGGGTGTGACATAGCAGACCTCAGCATCAGTCCCCCTTTTCTCTAGTTCTCTCTTTCTAGTCCAGGATGTGCTGAAGAATGAAAATTTCCTATTCTGTTTCCAGACCCTCAGACCATCCTGCTGTCTTTCCCTCCTCCATCCCAATAGCTTTCCCTTGCCCTCTTCACCTACTTCCCCTAAATGGATCTATGCTTACAGTGTAGGAAATAGAATTCTGTAGTGGTTGTTGGTGCTGGTGGGATGCAGTGGTCTTCAGGGTCCTCCCCCCATTGATAAGAAGTTGTTCAGAAGCTGCTGCTACTACATCTCTCTGTCTACAGGGGGCTCTTGTCCCTGAGATCTTGGCCTGGGTCCTGACTTCTGCGGTTTCTGTGAAGCCGTGCCTTTTCTATGGGCTCCTGTGTGTGCTGGCTGTGCCCTGAGCTCCAAGATGGCCGCCCATAACCTTTCTGCTAAGGTCGGGGCCCAGGGCCCCCAAAGCATAACTGAGGGACCCCCTTCCCAGAAGGGCTGTCCCAAGCCCCATCCTATGGGGCCAGGCTTCCTGCTAACCCTGTCTACAACAGGCAGATCAGTACCCCCCACCCCACCCCAGACTGAACTGTGAAAGAGAGGTTCCAGGGGTGTCTCCCTTAGTGCCAGTTCCTTAGTGATGTGTTACTTACCCAAGATGCAGTGGGTGTGTGCAGGTCTTTTGCTCTCTAGGCCTTTCCGTGTGTGTGTGTGTGTGTGTGTGTGTGTGTGTGTGTGTGTGTGTTTGTGTGTTTGTGTTTGGTGGCAGGGGGAGGGAGGTGCTGGAGCTTCTATTTCATTTTAACATGTATTCACTCCCCTGACCCCACAAATGCTTTCCTCCACACTTTTTCCTTGCCTCTGTCTCTATTTCCTCAGATTTTTTTGCTCCTGCTCCTGTTGCCTCTCCCTCCCTGAACTTTTTCCTTTGCCTTCTCAACTCATTCACTGCTGTTGCCCGTTTGTCTCTCCTTTGTTTCTTTCCTACTTAGGATTCCCGACTCTGTATCCTTGTGGTTGGGGAGGACTTTGCCTCTTCAGCTTCATTCCTTCTCTAACTCTCCCTAGTTAATGCCGGTCCCAAATAGGTTTTCCTTATTTTAGGCCAACCCCCACCTCGTTTTGGGGGCTCCAGGGACCAAGGGGGCTGAGGGTATTAGGAAGTAGCCGTGGAGGTGGCCTTGGTGCTGCTCAAGGATCTGTCCAGCAGGGGGCAGTAAGTGGTCTTGGTAGTATCCCTGGCTGCTAGGTCCTTGGCAGGGGTGGCCCCTTCTACATTCCCATTCACCTAAAAGCTTTTTTGGGGATTGGGTGTTTGGTTCCATTTCTGCCTACTCCCTCCCCTAGTCTCCTCGGGTAGGTTTAATTTTATGCTTTCCTTTGTTCCAGCCTTTCTTCTCCCTGGGGATTCCTCCTCTCCCCACGCCCCCCGCGTTTGTGGTGTTATAGTGGTAACTGCAGTTCTGAACTGGTTTTTCTCTTCTTTTTTCCTCTTCTGGAATGTAGACTGTACATGTTTAGTAACTCACCTTCTCTCTCCTTGCTCAATATGTGGGATACGCGATGACTGTGACCCTGGTTGGAAATTAAACTTGTTTTATGCAGCTTTGGAGCAGACCTTCATCTTTGGTGTGCAGCAGCCATGGGACAGTGGTTTAACGGTGAGGGTAGTTCTCTCTCTGGTCCCTCTCTCTAGACTGCTCCTTCTCTCAGCAGAGGGGTAAAGAGTACATGTGACTCGTGGCTAGGGAGGTCGTTGAGGAACTTAGGCTCATCTCCACACTGCTTACTACTTCCCGTCATACCCCAGAGGGGAGCCAAAATGAATTGGGCACCAGAGCGTGAGGGCATCATGTCTTTTCTCCTCTAGTTCTAAAGGGTTTAACCCTGAATTTAGCCATATTTATCACCTGTTGGTAGACGTTAGGGACTTCAGTGGCTAGAGGACCCTGAGCTTGGAGTGCCCCACACTGCCTCCACTCTCAGATCTCCCCAGCCCTGTGCATCAGGTGTTTCTAGTTGGAACAGGGTCTCTTCATCCATAGATTGGAGTCCCCTTCACCCATCTAGTTTGGGACTTTGGCAGTGAGTAAGCATGAAGGGTAAAGGTCCAGGTAGTGTAATGAACTTAATCCTCCTCACAACTGATGGCCCTGCGTCACCTCTACTTCAGGTGTGTGTTTCCCCATTGTCAGGATGCTAAGCCTCATCCAGAGATTCCACAAATGTCTTGAGGGAAAAGACAAGCCTCAGTCCTCCTGTCCTACTCCCACCACTATTCTGTTCCTTTCCTGCTACTGCTGTCTGGTTCCAGGCAAAGAAAGCAACGGATCTACCCTTCCTTTGGTGGGTGAGGTCTGCCTGAGCCAGGCAGGACCTTCCTCACTCTTACCACTTTCTTAAGCTTTGAAGTCAGAGGTCTTTCCACACTGATGTTGTGGGAAAGGGACAGGATTTAGGCATGTAATAAGTTTGAGAGTCCCAAGTACCAGTGTGAAGTATATCATTTATATTCAGTTACCTTGCTGCTGCCTCCTCTGCCAGTTTTTCTTTTCAGCCCCTTTCCTGTTATTAAAATAAGCCATGACCCTCAAGGATCAGGACTTCTGCCCTTATGAAACTCTTAAACTACTCCAACCAGACATCCCTTTATCAACCCCATAAGCCTTGAACACTACCCACTTACCCCTCAAAATCAGATGTTGCTTTCCTCCTTCTAGGCTCCTCAAAGTCCTGCTTGGTGACCAAGGTTACTGATAAGTTTGGAGCGCCTTTCTCAAGTGTTTTATTTGTGTGCTAATAGATACCTTATAGAGCTACAGCCTCTCATAAGATAATGATAATGGAGAGGACTTTAGCTGGATGGCAGGCCACTGGGGGTCTTTTGACCCCTGAATATCTTGGAGAAGAGGATGACCTCGTCCCTTCTGTCCCTCAGTCCTCTATTTTAGGATGCCAGGAAAGAGGTGGAGGGAGCCCTCTTGTGGCAGTTGCTTAAACCTTCTAGCTTCTTTTGGGGGGGATATAGGGGAATGAGGGGGAGACTTAACCTGGAAGATAAATGTTTAGCATCCAACTCAGGACAAACAGCAACCCCATCTTCCCAGAACATGAATAGCTCTTCAGTTGTGGCTTCGCAGAGGACCTGGGGCCCAGGGTCCACTTCAGGATAATCTGGGCAAAGGAGCTTCCAAAATGAGCTTGGAGAAAACCAGTAGAAAACCTTTGGATTGGTCTGCGTGGGATGGAGGACAAAACTGCCCCCGTCATTCCTGAGTATGGGGGTAGTGGCAGGGAGAATGAGTTTGGGTGTGTATGAGTTTCTTAGATTAAAGATATGAGGTCTGAAGGTTCTGGGGATTCACTGCGTCCCTTTCTGTTCAAGGGCCTAGATTGGTCAGAGCAGGAAATTGACAGGTATTTACTTAGTATTTTCTGTGTTTCCAGAGCTGTGCTAAGAATGGAATCAAACCAGAGAATGGAGGGAGAGACCTGGGAATCTATTTCTGGGATGCTCTGGAATCCTTGGGGTAGCCATAGTGCACCATGTGGGGTAGTGAGAATTGGGGAATAACTGTGGAAGGGCATACTCCTTTGCTACTGCTTGGTGCAGGGAGTGGTGTCTTTGGGCAGGCAGTCATAATAGTAAGAACAGCCTCTTTTCCACTTCTGAAGGGTGTGGAGGTGGGAAGGCCAAAGTCTAGTTCTCTATTTTCTAACCTGGTAACTGGAGGGATAGAGTATCATGCTGGTCACTAGGGAGTGAGATGATCCAGATGCCTTCCTGCCTCTGTAGATTTTTCATTCTAATTGGGTTCCCTGGCCCTGGTTGCTAGGATGAGTAAGGATGACTCCAAGTTCCTGAGCAAAGGGAAGAGAGGGTGAGGTCTGAGGAAATCTGAGCCTTGAGTATGGTAAGGGAGCTATGCCCCTGAAGGCAGTGGTTGGAAGTCTGGAAGTAAGGAACCTAGGTCAGGACTGTTCACCATTAAGGCTTGAAAGTGAGTGTCTGCTTGTGTGTGTACTTGGCCAACATGAGCTACAGAAGAGAGTATCTGGACTCTATGAGAAAATCTGGCTTTTGAGCTGAACCTGGTGGAGCAGAAAGGATGACACTCTAGCGAGAACTCTGGCTATGTGTGCCCAGAGCTGACTAGTTCTACCCATGCACCCTTCCTCCAAACCAGGCACATTGAAAGCTCTCTCTGAGGAGGTCTGGACAGTCAGTGCAGGCCAGGCAGGAGGTTTGAGAGTGAACTTGTCCACCTGGCATCCCCTCCCGCTCACCTCCCACCTCCACTCCTCCATCCCAAACATTGTTGAGAGCCGTCCTAGGACAGAATGGAGTACAAGGCCTTTTGAGGGTTGGAGGGCTTAGCTTGGGGCTCTGAACCAAGGGATTTGGATGCCAGCATCTTTATGAGTTCCAAATATAGGAAAGTGGGGTGCTCTCTTGGTTTTAGGTAATAGATGGGAGATGAGAAATCTTTGTTTTTGCCTATGCCAGATCTTGCATTGATGGGATGATACCTCCCTGTCTAGAACAGCCATAGGTGAGATTTTGAGAGGGAGGTAACGCTTCATTCTGGATGCATGAATGAAGCGCATATGGATGCATGAGTGCATAACCATACCTAAAAAGAAAACATCCAGTCAGCCAGGGTAGGCATGCCCTTGAAAATATGGCATTAGATTTTGAACCCAGATTTGCATATTCTGACTCATAGTCTTTTTGTTTATTAACAATCTGTTTAAAATAAACATATTAAAAACACTTAAAAAGCAGTGTTGTGCTTACTATCTGGCACATAATAGGCACTTATGTGCACATAATAGGCACTAACTAAGCTAGGCATCGTGGGTGCCCCATGAGTCTTGGGAGCCAGGGGGCGCTGTGGTAGTTTTTCTCTTACTCACCAACACCTTTGAGGGTGGAGGCCTTTCCAGGAGTGGCCCTCTGATTAAGTTGTGCCTCCAGTCAAGGTTGGGCCAGCTCCCCTACCTTTCCCAGAACCATCTCACCTTTCTCTGTCCTTCAAGTTCTTCCTAACTTGGTCCAAGGAGAAAGCTCCTTCCTTGGTTCCTCCTGGGTCCAAGTGGGCTTGTGCTGCCCTCTGTGGGTGATATTGTTGTCTTAGTTTTGCCTTTTCCATTGCCACTACCTCCCTCTCTCACTCCACCCCCACTTCCCCTTCAGATTCCCAAATAAAGCCTCAGATCTGGACCTGACAGTAGCCTTTCACCTTCACAGCACCATTCCAATAAGCTGGTGAATTGGTGCAGTATGCACTATTACCCCTTTGCTCAGAAACAAGCAATGGGTTCCCACTGCCTTAGTCTGCCATTCAAGGCTCTCCACAACCAGCTCTTACTTCCCTCTTCAACTACCTCTCTCCTCATCCAGCTAAATCCCTTGCTTTAGCCAAACTGGTCCATTCATTTTTCCCAAATATCTGGCCCTCTGCCTTTGTCCCCTTTCTCACTTGTTTAAAAATACTACTTTCCTTTAAGATCTACAAAGCTGCCTGTGACCTGTCTAGTCACAAGGAATTGTTTTTCCCCAGTCTGGCTCCTTTAGCTCTGTTAGCACAACTTATTCAACACCTCCCACACATCCCCTTGTATTGCTGTATATCATGTTCATTCATTTAATATTTTGTTTAAGATTTATTTTTGTAACCAAACTAATTTTTATTGCAGAAGATCCAAAGAGTACATATATATAGAGCCACATGTGGAACCTGTTCCCATCCCCAACGGTAACCCCCTCAGCTATTTGGTGTGCATCCTTCTCGTTCCTTTTCTAAATATAAATACACACGTTGGGGAGGGGTTAAAATCTAAATAGGCTCATATCACATCTATTTTTGCTTTTTTTAAGGGTATGTACATTTGTCTTTGAGATTTTCCATATCAGTATAGTTAGATCTTCCTTTTTAATGGCTTCTCAGTATTGTATAATATTTATTCAAAATAAAACGTACTTGTTTAGAGTGTGTTATATGGAGGATAAATGTGCAGCTAGTACCTAGGGGACTCCAGACATGATCACAACCTTGTCCTTACCATCTGGGAGCTGGCTCTTTAGAGGAGATGGAGGAGTGGGGTGTATACCAATAACTGCAAGACAAGGAAAAATATAAGAATGTCTCTGAGTGTATGCCTGGAGTTCAGAAATCAGAGAAGTCACTTCTAGCGAAGGGAATCAGGACCTCACAGAGGAGGTGATATTTGAGCTTGGCTTGGAGGGAGCTTGACAGGTGAAGGAAGAGCATGAGTACAGGCGCAGAGATGAAGACACATGATGAGGTTCATCTGATGCCAGACCATGAGCAGGCAGGGGGTTTGCTTCAGTTCACAAACATTTATCAAACATCTGTGTGTCAGACACCACACCAGGCAATGAGAATACAGAAATGAGAAAGATGAGGTTCCTGTCTTTAAAAGGCTTTCAGTTTAGTGGAATAAAAGCCAAGTTTGGAAAGGCAGATTAGGACCAGATGATGAAAGCTTTCAATTGGCATGTCAAGGAGTCTGAATTTTATTCACTGGGCAGTGTGGAACCATGCGTGCTTTCTAGTGGGCAGGCGACATGACTGAAGCTGAGCAGATAGCAACAGTGACCAGAATGGGCTAAAATAGGGAGAGGCTGGGGATGACGGGCTCATTACTCTTTTTTATCTTTTTTAAAAACAAGATACAGGTTCTTTCCTACCTCAGTTTAAAGGTATCTGGTGGTCAGCAGTCCAGGACTGGTATGGTAGCTCTACAGTTATCAGTGACTTAGGCTTCTATCTCTTTGCTACACCATACTAGCATGTAGCTTCCATCCTCATGGTCATCTCATGGTCTGATACAGGTGCTGGAGTGTAATGCATCTCATCTACATTCCAGGCAGCAGAAAGAAGGAAGAGGGAGGAGGGGGGAGGAGGAGGAGGAGCATTCAATGACACACTTTTTAGCTAAGTTAACTCCCTGTAAGGAGTTTTCCTGGAAGTCCAGGACAATAATTCCAACACTTCTGTTTATGTCTTATTGGCCAGAACTTAGGCACATGGCCTTATCCAGCTTTAAGGGAGACTTGGAATTGTAGTTTTGTACTTATTTTTTTGTTTAATTTTTTTCCTTTTTTAAAAATTTGAGGTATAATTTGCATGCAGTGCCATGCACAGATTTTATCATACTGTTTGGTAAGTTCTGACAAATGCATACACTCATGTAACCCACATCCCTATCAAGATATAGAGCATTCCACCTTCCCCAGAAATTCCTTCTGGCTGAGGGGTCTTTTTCTTTATAAACGACCCCAAAAAGAGAGATAATGAGGGCATAATTAGAGTGGTAGCCATGGGAATGGAAAGAGTTAGAGGGGAGCCAGTGGGTGGCATAGCTGTTAAGTTTGCGTGCTCTGCTTTGGTGGCCCTGGGGTTCGTGGGTTCAAATCCTGGGCGCAGCCCAAAACACCGCTCATCAAGCCACGCTGTGGGTGCATCCCACATACGAAATAGAGGAAGATTGGCACAAATGTTGGCTCAGAGCCAATCTTACTCACCCAAAAAAATGGGCCGGCCCCGTGGCCGAGTGGTTAAGTTCATGGGCTCTGCTTCAGCGGCCCAGGGTTTCACCAGTTCGGATCCTGGGCGTGGACATGGCACCGCTCATCAAGCCATGCTGAGGCGGCATCCCACAGGACCCACAACTAAAAAAAATACACAACTATGTACAGGGGGGCTTTGGGGAGAAAAAGGAAAGAAAAAAAAGAGCTGGAGAGGCTGTGGAGGGAGAACCCAAAGGAGGCTAGTTGGATGTGGGAGATAGAAGAATCGAAGAGAATGCTGAGAGCAGAGCCACTACCAGAAACAGGAAATTGGGAGGGAAGTCTAGATTGTTGCAGATGACATGGAAGGAGAAAGAGGAATGAGTACAGTACTGGGTGTGTTGATTTGAGGTGCCAGTTAAACATCCAGGTGGAGATACCCAGTAGGCAGTTGTGTCTCGAGCTTGGGAAGGGAGGCAGAGCTCAATGGCATCAAATACTAGAGAGATGCCCAAGAGGACAAGGGATCAAGAAATGACCCAAGAATGTGGTGACTGAACTCGCTGATGACTTTTGAGGGAGCAGAATCCAGATGCCAAGGCCTGAGTGGGCAGTGAGGGTTCCAGTCACACAGAAGGGGACTGGCAGGGTCACCTGAAATTATTTTAAAACCTTTTTAAAAACTGAAGTCCTTACACAAACAGGAAAGAGTTGTGTGTAGCTACCCATTGGACAAGTTTCTTGATAAAAAGAGAAAGGAAATGGTAGCGTCAGAAGAAAAGATCAAGGATTCACCCCATCCTTACAGGAAAATAGCCCCTTGCTCTTTCAGTTAGCTTTGTAAGGGACAGAGTGATGGGACGGCTCCCTGCCTCCTTTTGGACATATGACCTCCAGAAATTCAAGCTGTAGGGTTGGAGGTGGGAGAGGGATGCCACCTGTGACAGATGCTGGGGCGGTGGGGGGAAGGGGGGGCAGCCAGACGCTGCCAGGATAGGGCTTAGACGAAAGAGCTGAGAGCAAACAGGCTGGACTCAGGCAGTCCTAGGTTTAAATCCTGTGTCAGGCACCCCCTAGCTAGATGACCTTGGGCAAGTTACTTAACCTGAGCACCCAGTTCCTCATCTGTAAAACGGAAACAATTATGCCTACTTTTCAGAGTGGTTTTAAGGATTACAGACAAATGCCTGGTACACAACAGGTAATCGTAAATGGGTGCTATTATGTGACCCAGTCCCTCGCTATGGAACGGAATGGCTAACGGACGGGTCAGAATCCGCGACCTTCCGATCTTAGAGGGGAGGGAGGGCTCCCCGTGGCCTCCTCCCTCCAGGAGGTGGGGACAAGGTGGAGGAAGGGCTGCAGGAGGAGGAGCTGGCGCGTCTCGACCCGCCCCCGTCCCGTCCAGTCTGGCCTGGGCGCCGAGGGAACCGCTGTCCTAGCCACCGCCACCCGAGCAGCCTGTCCTGGTGCCCCGTGCCCTGCCCCGCGTCCAGTCATGACCTTGCGCCCCTCACTACTGCCGCTCCATCTGCTGCTGCTGCTGTTGCTCAGTGGGGCGGTGTGCTGGGCTGAGGCTGGGTTCGAAACCGAAAGTCCCGTTCGGACCCTCCAAGTGGAGACCCTGGTGAGGAGGAGATACTCCCGGGCCCCGCAGGGAATACGGGGTCTGAACGAACCTGGGAACGGGGAGGAGAGGAAGTGCGGGAACTGAGTTGGGGGGTGCTGGGTCTAGGGGCAAGAACGGGATCTTTGGAGGAGCCTCCGTCCGTGACTCCTGTAGTCCGGTCATAGGTGGAGCCCCCCGAACCGTGTGCGGAGCCTGCTGCCTTTGGAGACACGCTTCATATACACTACACGGTGAGGGGTCTGGGGGGCCGGGGCGGGGCCTGGGAGGGGGCGGCGCCCTACTGAAACACGTCAGCTTTGGCTTGGACACGTGGCAAGTGGTTCGGGAGTAACTCGGGGCTCTGGGGTCGTCGAGCACGTGGCGGGGGGAGGGGCGCTCCCCTTCCCTGCCCATTTCCCCTCCTGGCTTTTCCGCCAATTCCTTCCCGGCGCTGAGAAGTGAAGGGTGGGGAGATCTCCGAGAAGTGCCAGCCCTTTGGGGTTTCCTGTTCCTTTCTGCCCTGAAGGGAATGCTAGGCTGTAGCTGCAAGGATTGCCGCCGCCCAGCGGCCCAGGTATGTGTTGCGGGCCCCTGGGCGGGAGAGGAACCAGGTGTGCGCTCTTGATGCTCTCTCCCTGCAGGGCAGCTTGGTAGATGGACGCGTTATTGACACTTCCCTGACCAGAGACCCTCTGGTTATAGAACTTGGCCAAAAGCAGGTGATCCCAGGTATGTGACCTGCGTCTCCCATTCCACTTTTTCCCAACCTAAGCCCTTTCTTAGCCTCTTCAACCCCTAAGCTACCTTGGAAATGCCCCTGGAATATGACTCCAGGGCTCTACCAGCCACCTCTGGAGGTTCAAACCCCACTTCTGATACTCCTCTTGCCCCAAACCCCACTGGAAGGCAGAGATTTGAGAAGTGGGGAGCTCAATTGAGGGTCAAATGGGAGCCTTTGATCCTCCTCTCCTGGGATTTGGGGAATGTAGATAGCTTCCTCTTCAGTTGTGTCTTCTTCCTCAAGGTCTGGAGCAGAGCCTTCTAGACATGTGTGTGGGGTGAGTATCTGGGCAGGGGTGGGCTTGGATCCCCCCTTTGTATGGGTAGAGGCTTTCTCTGCTATCCCTGCTCCGAGAGGAGGCAGGAGAACAGGGGATAAAGGGCCCTGGCTTTGCGCTGGGCAGGTCCAGGTCGTTGGGACTCCTGAGGGCATCCAAAGCATCTGTGCCTTTCTGGCTGTGGGTTTCATTGGAGGAATGGAGGCATGTGGGGGAATAGTCACCTTTCCTGGTCAACCTATTTGGTATTCAGGTAGGAAAGTTCATGTTTTGGGTGTGAATATCCAGAGGGTTTTGCTGATGGGGCTTCAAATGGACTGAGGCTGCTGGCCCACCTGATCCCACCTCTGGCTGTGACTCATTCCTTCCCACAGAGAGAAGCGAAGGGTAATCATTCCTTCTCACTTGGCCTATGGAAAACGGGGATTTCCACCGTCTATTCCAGGTAAGCTGACCAGCCTGTCTCTCAGGCAATCAAAATACCTAGTCCCTAAGAGCTACAAGGAGCTGCACACTTTGTCTGGAGCTTGAGATGGTCTACAGCCATTTTGCTGAAAGGGACAGGAGTGGCTGGGGCCTCCTTCTGCAGGGCCACTTTTTTCCTCCTCACATCACCCACAGGGACTAGAGACATGTAGCCTGTTAAGGCCACCTGACTTGCCCTCTAGCAGCCAGCAAATTTTTAGGAAGGAGACACCTGCTTGAGCCCCATGGGTCTGCTGCCTGTGCCACCCCTCCCAGAACACTGGACTTCTTTCTTGCCTTTTTCCTACAACTCCAAACTGCGGTTTGTGCAGTTGGCATGGCTTCTCACCACATCTCCACCCCTCCTTTCAGCTTCCACCAGGGAAGAGATAGTAAAAATGATCACAGTCAAGGAATTTGAGACAAAATAAAAAAACAACTTTTAAAAGCCAAGCCCACCCCATAACTTTAAAAGCCCTCACAGGCCACTGCTGATATCTATTCTTGAAGGGCTGAGACTGGACAGATTTCCCAAGGTATATATCTCTTGCTTTTAGTTACCACAAATGTCCTATTAGCTAAAATGTGTTGTACTTCAGAGTAATGGGATAAAAGTTCTTATCCTTGCTCCAGCTTAGAAGGAGACCTAGAAAGATGGTCATTGGACTAAAAAGAAACTCTTTCACCTAAAGCTCTATTACTTCCCCATTTCCAGTACTGCTTCTGTTTACATTTCTCCCCCTGACCCCCAACTCCCATTTATTCCCTGCCCCTTACTTCCTAAGCCACATCCTTCTTCCTCTCCAGCTCTTATGTTGAAACACTTATCTTTTCCAACAGTCATATTGAGTGTGCCCATTGGTTGGTGGAATTTCCAAAAGTGTAATTTAAATCCAATTAATTTCAGCCCTGCAAAGATTCTATCCATGTGGCTGTTTGGAAATGGAATATGGTTAGTATAGAGGTTGTCTCACTTTTAAATGGAGAAGAGCCTGTACATTTCACATCCACAGAAAGTTTTCCTGTCCTGTGAAAGACCTGTCACTGAACACAAGCCACACGTGTACATTTGGTGTAAACATGACCATCACTAGACTCTGCTCATCATCCTTCTCTGCCTTTGTCTAAATGAACTCAACCCCACATTTAAATCTTGCCAGCTTCCTAGTTCCCTATTTTCATTCAGACTCTGAGCCCTGGATAAAACACACAGAGATTCTAACCCTCACCTCCTCTCTGCCTCCAGCGGATGCAGTGCTGCAGTTTGACGTGGAGCTGATTGCACTGATCCGAGCCAACTACTGGCAAAAGCTGGTGAAGGGCATTTTGCCTCTGGTAGGCATGGCCATGGTGCCAGCCCTCCTGGGCCTCATTGGGTATCACCTATACAAAAAGGCCAACAGACCTAAAGTCTCCAAAAAGAAGCTCAAGGAAGAGAAACGAAACAAGAGCAAAAAGAAATAAATAATAGTAATTTAAAAAAACGTCTTTGCATTCTTCACCTGATACTTTCTGAGGCTGTTTTTGAAGGGGAATGAGGTAAAGGGCTGGGGAAAAAGGCCTTCTGAGTTGGATCCTGCCTGGCATGGGGTGGTTGGAGGCTTTGGATCACTTCTTCCCCTGGCTTCCTCTTCCTGTCCTAACATACTCTAAGAACCTGGCCTTGAATCTCCCCATAAGATCTCTAGGTCCTGAAGGTATGGGTTTTGGCTCCCATGGTGCCCTGACTCTGAGGAGCACTGCTTCATTGAGCTGTAAACGTCCTGGTAGTTGCTTGGCCATTCTCTCCACTCCCTGGGGCCACTGTATTCCTAGTGTGTTCAGCATAGACTGCTCTGTCCAGTATGGCAAAGATAGAAGGAGCTCATCAACTCCATGGAAATTTTTAATGCTTTGAAAGTCCTCAGGTCTCAAAAAATTCTCTGGGGATTGAAAAGAGATTTTCTCCTTGTATCACAGGATGTGAGAGATCACGTGGGCTGCTTCAACGATGTTGTAAGTGGTTGGAGGTTGTTTGTCACCTGGCTGGGTTGTAGGTTTGGACAAGGGCTGGGTTAAGTTGCTTCGATGGTTGACAATGAAGAGTGGGTTGAGCTGGCTCAGCACTTCATCACTCACTGAGATGCCATCCAAGTACTGCTTGAGCATCTCCCGCAGTTTCCTGTTGATTTCTAACAACTGGGCATGTCTGTGTTGGAGGCTCAGTTGCTCCAGTTTCACTTTGTTGTACCTTTTCCAGAAATTCTCCATCCCTATGTAGTCCACTATCACCTGGGAGTTGAGTTAAAAGGAGAAGGTGTGTGGAGGGGCCCGTTAGTGAATGCAGCCCAGTGCCCCATCATCCCCAACCTTGAGCGACCCCAGGAAATTTACCTTTGCAAGCTCCTCCGTAAGCTCCTCTGGGTTAATTTCCTCTATCTCCTCCTGCTCCTGAGGAGTCAATACTGATGAATAAAAAGGCAGCACTTTTTCTTCCTCTGTTTCAAATTTCCTACATATTTCAGCAAGTTTAAGGATCTTTTCACCCTGTTGGAAGCAGGAAGAGACCTTTTATTAGGAAAGGAGGAGGGCAGGGGAAATAGTGGAGTTGGCTCCCCTGCTTGAACCCAGGGAATCTACTTATCCAAATGGGAGATGAGAGTAATAAATATGTCTAACACAGAGTGCTTACTGTGTGCCAAGCACCATTCCAAGCATTCTGTCTTCCTACCAAATTCATTCATTATTAATTCATTTAATTTAAAATTCATTTAATTTAAAGAGAGAAGGGAACAACATGGAATAAAAAAGGTACTCCAGGTGTCCACTGAGGCAGGAAGCAGGAGGAAGCTCTCTACCTCTCTCAAACCCCTTCCCCCTCGCAGGGAGCCAGGTTCCTTGGTTCTGATCACCTTCTCCCCTTGTTACCTTATCGACAGTCTTTCTCAGGGCCTTGAGGGTGGCATTACTTTCCAGGGTGAGTTTGACCAGCTTCTCCTGTGATATTCCCCGGGCCTGAGTCCTTTGCGCCTTAAGTTTTCGCAGTTGTACAAGGACTAACTCCTTGTCATTACGAATGTCCTGGTTCTGTTCTTCACTCTCACGGCTGTGCGCCATGATCTTGCCTTTTAAAATAATTATGGACTCCTGGAGGAACAGAGTAGATTAGAGGAAACACTTGACTAGCTGAGGGTCTTCAGTGAGACAGGTAAGAGGACTGTCTGGGGACTCAAATCAAAGCATATCATCCTTCCCCAACCAGTGGATGAGGCCCAGTGGAAACTGGGGGAAGATGAACAGGGGATAATGGAGCAGTTAAAGCAGCAAGTATTTCTGGTTGGCTGGACTAACCTGTAGTCTTTGTATTTTTTTCATCTGTGCTTCAATCTCTTTGGAGCTCTTCTCGTCCTTCACCTTCAGGGTCTCGAAGGCAATCTTTCGATCCTCTGTGGCATCAGTATAATTCTTGAGTGCATCCTGGAACCTCCTCCACAGATCTTCTACTATATTCTCCAGTTGCAGTCTTAGAAAGTGCTTCTCTTCTATGTTCTAGGAAGTGGCCCCAAAATAGCCAGTGCTTGGAATTACCCTATTAGTGCCCTGTCACATCCCACCAGCAACCTTGCCCTCTTGAACTGTGTGTAGCATAGTGTAGTGCAGAGGTTGCCAATGAAAATGCCGACAAAGACCAGGCAGATGACATAAATAAGTGATGTGGGCTAGATGGAGCCTGTGGTGAACCATAGAGGAAATGCTCTATGGGGGCAAGGGGATGGCACAGCTGTTCGGCTCCACATGAATGTCCCCATTTGGAAATGTGGCCCAGTGTTACCAGATCTTTAAAATTTTCAATGGAAGCTGAAAATTTGGATTTTTATGTGAAATCTCCCAATTTTTTTTTAAAGATTTTATTATTCCTTTTTCTCCCCAAAGCCCCTGGTATATAGTTGTATATTTTAGCCGTGGGTCCTTCTAGTTGTGGCATGTGGGATGCTGCCTCAATGTGGCCTGACAAGCGGTGCCATGTCTGTGCCCAGGATCCGCACTGGCGAAACCCTGAGCCGTTGCAGTGGAGCACTTGAACTTAACCACTCTGCCACGGGGCCGGCCCCTCCCAATTTTTAAATGTAGGAAGCTTATTAAAAATTTTTACAAAACACTGTGGGGCAAAACAAAGAACCCCATACCCAAACCCAGGTCCGCAGGCTGGAGGAAAGCACTTTGGGCCAAGGGGCAGAAGGCCTGACTTCTCCTGGCTCTACCACAAATCAGCAGCATGACTTTGGCAGGCCATCTTATGTCTTTGGGCCTTAGTTTCTTCATCTGAAAATCACAGGGGTGAAGCCAGGTGATCTCCTTGGTGCTTTTTACCTCTAAAATGCATTTCCTTAACATTTCAGAGTGGTCCTCCTGACCAATTTTCACAAAAGTACAAAAAAGCAGGGGTACCTAGAGCAACAGTGGCATTTTACTGATGATGTTTGTTAAAAGGGTCTCTTCCAGCTCCACTAGGCTTGAGCATTCTGCTCTCACTTCTCTCCCACCTCCTGCCCATGTGGTCTCCCTCTACCTTGTTTTTGAGATCATCCCACATGCTCTGGAATTCCAGCTTGCTTTCATACTCGGAATCTATGTAGTTCTGCTCCATGGCCATGAAGACATCTTGTAGGTAGTGAATCTCTTTTTCATGTTGGTCAATAATTGTCTTCCTATAGGAGATAAGACACTGTCCCTGCTCTGAAGGATCAAGCATATAGACCAATAATGACAGTCAAAGCAGTAAGAAGACTTTATGAATGGTATAATCTATTAGGTACTGAAGGAGAACAGAGGGAGGGTGGGCTCTATTCTTTTTTAGGGACAGAAAGAATGAATAAGATTATTTTATTATGGTTTTTGAATATGTAATATATTCATATGATACAAAAATCAAAAAGTACAAACAGTTATAGTGAGAAGTCTCCTCTCAGCCTGTCCTCTGCCAGATGGTAGGATTTTGATAGTTGAAAGTGGGTGGTGAGGGCGTTACAGATAGGGACCTGGCATGGGCAAAGGGAAGCTAAGGCCACAAGCCTCACAAGCTTAAATCTGAGTTAGTTTAGAAGGATCTCAGGATCTTCTGCGCCAGGGGTCATGTCATAATCAAGGCGAGATGCTCCAGGGTGCTGGCCACCAGCTCATAGGCAGGCAGCTCCTTGACAAAGGCTCTGCATACTCTCTGTGGCTCAATCCCCATCTCTCTTAGGCCCTCATACCTTTCTGTCTCAAACTCCTTCGTTAGGGCCTCCAGCTCCAGATTGTAACTTTCCTCTAGGAGGTTAAGCCGGCTTCTCTGCAGGGCCAACAGCTGGTCAATGTTGTGCATGTGGCTGCGCAGGGCATGGGCATACTGTTCCTCAGCTTCTGACAGGTCCTTAGCTAAAGACTGGGTAGGAAACAGAGAGTTAACATTTTGGCTGAATGGCTTCTGTGTGAGAAAATAAATATGTATTCAGGTGGCTAGCTGGATCACATGAATGGCATTTTCCCCTAGTTCCTAATGCCAATTCTTTGGTTCTAAAAGTGCTGGTTCTCCCACTCTTGAATGTAAAGTAAGACTGACATCAGGGAGCCCCACGTAGCCAGTCAGTGTCGCAGAGGCAATGGACATTTACAGTGATGGAGCTACCACTAAAAGGAACTAGGGACTCTTGGAGAAATGGCTGCTTCAAAGTCTGAGGCAAAAAATAAACAAGTTGAACCTACAGTATCTTCTCAAAAAGACAGCAAATAGAGTCATGTTGAAAGGACTCAGGAACTAACAAAAAGTGGCTCTCTGTGGCAGATTCTATTTTCCAAAGATGGGCACAATTTCTCCCATCCTACAGTCTTCTGCAGTGTGACATTGCTACTCCTCCATGAGGCGGTAGTCTCTTTTTCTATCTCCTTGAATTTGGGCATAGCCTGTGACTACTTAGATATTAGAATATGGTGGAAGTGACACTGTGCCAGTTCCAGGCATAGCCCTTAACTGGCCCGGCAGCTTCTGCTTTCTGCCCCTTGGAATGCTTGTTTTTGGGACACTCCCTCCAGGAACCCAGCCAACATATTGTGAGAAGCCCAGTGCATATGGAGGGACCAGGTGAAAGCATTCCAGTCAACAGCCCAGCTGAGCTCCCAGCTGACAGTCAGAATCAAATGCCAGCCGTCTTAGATCCAACCCAGTTAAGCCTTCAGGTGACTGCAGCCCCCACTGACATCTGACTGAAATTGTAGGAGATCCCAAGAAAGACCACCCCCCCGCCCCCCCCGGTTAAGGGAGCTAAGTCAACCTAAAGAACCATGAGAAATAAAAGAAATTCTTGTTTTAAGTCACTAATTTAGGGGTAGTGTGTTATATAGCAGTAGATAACTGGAACACTTCTGGCAAAAAAGGGACAGTGCAGCATCAATAAGAATAAGAACTGCAATGAACTGAAAAATATCAAATATGTTGATTAGGAGTTCATAAGGATACTTTAAAAAA